GTATTACGTTTATTTGATGTAATCATCATTGGTACATTATTATTAGGACTTAGTGTTGATGAATGAATATAAAACGGAGCTGCGACTGATAATAGAAAAAAACGTTTTGATTGTAAAATTGCTCCTTCATATACAGAAGCAGGCAGTGCATTCACACGATTGCATATTGTCAATGGATCTCGAAGTAAACCAATAAGTGGTTCGATTAATTGCGATACGATGACGCCTCTAGATGATATATTTGTTATTGGATTAATACATTTTTGTTGATAAACCATTCTCGATAGAAATATATCGCTTGATTGTTTATTACTTTCGGTTTGATTTCTTCCAAATTTCTGTAATTCGATTAATCTTTCGACAGCTAAAGCTGATTTATTTAAATTATCTATATTTGTTAATGTTTCACAAACGATATTTTGTAATTGTTCAATATTATCAGTCCAACTAGATTCCCATGCACTTGGTGTATAATTTAAAAAATACCAGTGACAATTTTGATCGATTTGTTTGGAATTTATTAAACAATTCGTTGAACTACCGACTGTCAATATTTCTGTTGCGATTATTCCTTGGTGATTAACATAAATAATTGTTAAAATTACTGATCCAATAATGAGAATGATCATTAATGGACGTGAAAGTGAAAAATGTGGTGTTCTTTGTGCAGATGTAGAATGATTCGTATTTGCAGAGTAAACCATTATCTCTATATCAATATATATATAACAATGTTACATTTATGAAAATAAGTAGTTTATATTCATAGGATGATGAGTTTAATTTCTTTGCAGTTACATCACTAAATCGATCATTCTTGTACTAATGTCTAATAGTTGTTTTATAGCATTTACTAACATACAAGTCATGCCTATTAATAACTACAGACCCGAATTATCTAATTTCTGAGATTTATAGTAAACATTGAAATCAATGGATGCGGAAATTCTCATATTGTGTGAAGAAATAATACACCCACATAAAATGATATTTGTTAACGAAAAATAGAATGAATAAAAGAAAACATACATATCCTTTATAGTTCTACCACATGTATTAAAATTCAAGGAGAGATCATTTCTCCTAGCTGAATATACGTCAACAGCAACAGAATGAATACATAAAACGCATATATATATATATATATATATCAAGTACTGTCTTCAAAATACACTTAATCGATAAATGATTTCTTCTTAATAGTTTTTTCATTTCTTCTTAAGATGAAAGAAGAAAAATGATCAGATTCTTTTTAATTCTTTTCGCTTTTACTTATAAAAGTAGAACTGGATGAAGAATTTCTCTTTAACTTTGTCTAAGGAGAGGAAAGGTGGTGAAACATCAAGTGAATGTAGATGAGTTACAAATGAATATCATACGAAATTTACGTCCACCGTTTTTTTGCGCATCCATGAAAGGTGCACCCAAGATAGTTGCTCCCCAATGACATTTGCTCTCCAATATCAACTATCGATCACCAACATGATCATTATCAATACGAAGGGAACAAAATTACTCTGCACTGTTTTCTTTTGTACTTTCTTTTAGTTACTTATTTAATATCGTATGTCGACGATTTAAGTAATTAATAGCTGTGGATAAAAGATAAACCAAGTCCAGCTTTTAATCAGTAAATCTCTTCGATCAATTTGAAACATTCATAATTTCTTCTTGTTATTTTTTTTCTCGTTGTCTTCTATTCTTCGTGTAACTCGTAGAAAGTCTATTTCATACTATTGAAGAGCAAATATCGTTGGGAGCAAGTATCCTTGGGAAATAAGTGTCGCGAGAGCAACTATCTCGAGTGCACCTTTCATGGTACTGTTTTTTTCATAGTCCGTCATAGTGAAGCATGCTTTCATATTTACGAAAGATATTGATCATTATTTATTTTCTTATTGACATTTGATCTACTTATAAATTCTCTAGTATAAAAATCAATAAAGCAATTATGATTATTTAAAACTAAGATATACGTTGGCCGATAAATCTATTTATTTTTTATCGTTGTATAAAATACTTTCCTCCTCTTTAATGCTATGTAATCATACTTTACATCAAATTGATTACTCAGTAGAGATATGACATGAGACTTTTATTTCAATAAAACTCTCATATTATATTCCACACCCACACTCACAAGATGGTACAATGAAAGCAACTTCCTGTTCAGACTCCTGCAGTCGTAATTGCTTCTTTGTTATCAAAATTAGTTTTTAAAATTTTTCTATAGCTATAAAATTATCTTTTTGAAAAAAGCAATTAAAAGTTCTGAGAGATGAACATATTCTGAATCGTCATATGCCAAAAATCTGCATTTTTCGTTACATTGTGAAATTTTTTTGGTTTATTATTTGCATAGGATAATTTACAGAAGCGATTATAGATTTTGATAGAGCGTGAAATTCTATATCATTTCGAATATTTATTTGTTAGCATGCACTTATGTGCTAAAGAGTAATTCGAATACTACCTACGCATGCGACTTAATAAATTCTAAAAAGAAGAAGTTTTTTATATAGAAAGAAAAAAATATAACAGAACAGAAGAGACATATGTATATACATATATGGGAAAAAATTCTAAACAACATATTGGAAAATAACAATGGAATATGTAATGTGATAACATGTTGAAAAATTTCAGTATGTCATGTAGAAAATTTTTCCAATACTCAACAATCTTCTAGATTTCTTCCTAAACAATAGGAAACTTCACGTGCTTTCAAAACATGGAAGTCATGTTTATAGTGACAATACATGAGAAATATAAGCTAAAACTATTTTTTTTTTCCTAAGGAGGTATATATACAGAACTATATGAATGTAACTAGTTTTTTTTTACATAGAAATTTCGAATACATTTGTAATTCATCGGTTTCATAAACTCGATCATGAATTTTGAGAACTGAATACAAGATGTAAGTGTATGATGAATTCTGAAGAGTTCAGACACATTTCGTATCTCGTTTCTATTGTAAGGCTTTATATTTAGTTTCTCTTATATGACTTACCGTATATTGTACTTTTCTTTGAATTTAACTTTCTTCGCCAAACTTATAGGTGCGACACTTTTAATAAATATTACAAAAGTAGAGTTGATATAGTTATTCTATCATTACAGTTTTATATGACACCACAGCATGCGCGTTCATACGCACAAATGCACAGAAAATGAGAAGGTTAATATTTATCATGGTAATTTTATATAGTCAGATAGAGAACAGAAAAAGATTTATTGTTGATGTTACGGACTCACTTGTCAGATGCCGTTACGCACACTTTGTTATCGATATTTGATTTTTTCTACGCATAATCATTCCTTCTTGTTCTTTCTCTTTCTCTTTTTCTTTTTTTTATGCTTTGAGTTATTTAATCGAGTCGAAGAACGCATACAGAAGAGCTGATTAAAGGAATCTATAACGATGACTTTATTCCAAATGGATATGACTGCACAGTCACACGCAATAATATACAGCATTTATGAAAAGAAAAAGAAAAATATTCTTTTGTTTTTCTTCTGCAAATATTTATAGTCTATTAGCAGGCTGCTTGAAAGAAAATAATGATATCTTAGTGGAAAAATATGTTTGAATTTATTTGTAGTTCACAATTGAACAGATCAATTGAGAAAAGATTTATTTCTTATCTAAAATTTTCGTAAAAACGTATTAAAGAGCTTCTCTTGTTCGATAGTTTAGTTCTTATCTCTATCATTTCTAGATTGATTTTATGACAAGACTATAAAAATCAAAAAGTTTAGGAGATCTTTAATTTTACTAAATGGATTATTGGTATTCTATTTTACGGTTCATTTTCTAATGGTATTTTGTGATCATTAATTTATTTCAACTATAATTCGTATAACTTACCGATTTCAATTAATGGGTTGTTGGTTCAACAGATGTAACTATTTTATTTTATATCTCTAATAACACTATTTAATTAAGAGATACTTTGAAATTAATATCGATAATTAAGTTTATGAAACGAAAGAAAAGCGCGCCACTCATCAGATTAATTTATTATTGTTGATCATGAAGATTTATAATATATTGACAAATTCGACCTTCTTGAACTCTAAAAATGCATTAATATATATTAAATGATTTAAAGAGCAGGGAACTGTAAGTTGAAAAAAACGCATGTGAGGTGAGATAAATATGTTTTATAATTGTTAAAATAAATTTTTAATTGTTCATCATGAATAGGCATTACAGAGTAAAAGAATAGGAACATAAATTTATCAATTCTTAGAAAAGAAGAACTTTGCATAATAATTAATGAACCGTGTAGCATTTAGATTTAAAAATATTTTATCCTATTTTTTTGTAGAAGGAGATACTATTATTACAGCCGATGTCTTTACATCAAATACTGTATAGGCTGTCTTTAGTATTTATCATAATGGCTATACTATTGCGATGAAGATGATGATCATCTCTCTTTGAATTATATCTATCTGCAGTAGACCACGTCTACAGTGACGTTCGATGCCAGTGACGATAGAAGGGTAACAATACCAATGCTATTGATATTAGTATTGGGTATTGGTATTAGTATTGTTAAATCCCTAAGTGACAGGATCCAGTGTATCTTATAGAGAATTTCTTTCTGATTAAAATATATTTATTTTATAACTCTCTATTGATGCATGACTTGAAATAAACTCAAAATACTGTTACATCAAAAATAATGGTGCTTTATTACCATTACTTTATTATTTCTTTTTACTTTATTGCCGATCTCAATGCATATGAATCATTATCTCCAACTAGGGTGTAAGTATTACATTAACCTTATACTCTGATACCCACACTCTATGATGAACGAATTATTCAATATACAATTGTTGCCTATAAGACTGATTACATGCAGTTTGTTTGAGCTTTCGGTGAGAAGTTCATTTGGCGAAATTCATCATCGTCGAAAAAAAATTTCGGCGACAATAGAATTCACCTACGTACGTCTACTAAAAGAATGAATTTCGAAAGAACGTCAATTTTCTCTTGTTTTATGCATATTTTTCGTCTTACAGCATGTGCATTTTTAATATAAACAGCACCTTTAAAGTGCCGTTTCGAAAATTGCCAACTATAACAGTATAAAAGCACATTTTTAAAGTAAACAGCAGCCTTAAAGTGTCATTTAGGAAATTGCCAACTATAACAGTATAAAAGCAAATTTGTTTTCAATCATTTCTTGTCTACTAAAACGAAGCTCGTACTCACACAAAATATTCATAGATGGACAGTTCAGTTGGCGAAAAATCGTCGAAAAAAGGCAGCGTAGCCCGCATTTTCAAATGGAAACGAATTTACAAGCATTTGTCACGTCCAACGCGTGAGCAACCTGTTGCTCAGAATATTGAGACTAAAAACGCTCAAAAAGAAAAGGTCAATCAAAAGAATACAATTGATGAGATGCGCAATCGCCGAGTGCACAAACTGATTGTGGAAGGATCGAGAGAACAGAGAATTATTTCACAAACTACGATTCAACAAGAATATACCAATACTCTGAATATGTCGTCTACCACCATTCAATATAAAACTCCACAATCAACGATGAAATCACAATCAGTTACCGATAACAATCGCAATACCACAAGTCAACATCTACTTCATGAAGTTCTCAAATTTGAATTCAATAAACTATACATTCTAATATTTATCTCATTCTACTGCTATTGTTTATTCAGCAACATGATTAATTTAAACCGTTATACTTTATTATTTCTTGGATTGACTAGTACACTCTGTTTTAAAGAGAGCTCTGTTCAAATTGCGGGTGCATACATACTACTTTTTGGTTGTTACTCTGCTATTAGAACACTTTATTGTCTGATTATCTTTGATATTAGTCTCTACAATATGTTCTCATTAGCTCTTTTTATTGGTGCTGCTGTGTTTGGTTACCGTTTCAAAGAAGATAAGGACACTTACAAAATTCTTTTACTCACGATATGTATTGGTGATATAGGTATTAATATAATTACTATTTATCTCTATTATGCTAAATTTATTGGACTGCCTCTTATTTTTGGACTGATTCTTATAATAATATTCATATTAGCGTATTACACTCAAAAATGGGTATCTGAACGGCGCTCAAAAACTGTGGAGCAAGTAGTGTCATGTCTATGCGAGATAATCTGGCTGGTTCTAGCGGCATTTCTTATCAACATTATATTATCCATAAGTAAACGTTGTAAACTATGAACTGAGGAACGACGCCTGCCACTAAGTTTTATTTTTTTTAACTGTCTGGATGTGAGAAAGAGAATACTAACACCCTCACACTCTCATTTGATGAGATTGTTAATATTATCTTTCTTTTGAAAGTTTATTTTTATCCATTTTAAGAATCAAATGTTTATTAACTAACACATGAGTGAAATGTTTTCTATGTAACAACAAAATTTTCTAATTGAAATAAACAATTAAATACCTTAAAATATAAATTTTAATTTCTATTCATCAATCATTTATTGAGGGAGAGGATGTGGATGAAGATAATACCATACCCTTCAAATGTCAACCTAAATTTCATAAAATCGATTATCGATAGAACTTGATTAAATCTCAAATTAGAACAAGAGATTGTCAATCATCAAAATACAATCATTTGTTTATAAGTTAGTATCGATGATAATCGCTTGTACGTTGGAAAATATTACTTGTCGTGTAGATAAAAAGAATCTAATGTGATAGCAATTCATTTTTCAATTGTGAAAGATTTCATGATTGTATTAGTAGGTGGACAAAATTTATTGTGACAGGTAATTCTAATATCGAAAACTCGAGATGTATGTTGTGAAGCTTTAACTAAAAAAAGATTATGTTGATTACATTTTTATTTAATCTAATACTTACGAACTATCTTATCGAGAAAAGAATGAGAGTGAACCTATTTATACAATTTATGGTTATACACAAAAATACTCCGAACTTTTGTTAAACATTTGATTATATATGTTTTACTGGTCACCTTAAGGCATTCTTATGACCATTTAATGAATGTAAGAACATTTCGACTATTATAACTTTAAAACAAATATTTGACTTTTTTTCCAGGAATAAATCGATACCTAATCCTGAACATTTCAATATGGGATTGTGTTTATTTGAAATCGACTTTAGTTTTTGATATATTATAGAATATTCTCTATAATTTACATTATGATAAAAGCAATCATTTCAGCAAAGCATTTAATCTTGTGTCACTGAGTATATATTAAAGAAAACAAGGCTCATATATAAACTATATTATTATGTTGAAAAATGGCAAATTTATGCTACATTACACTCATCGCCTCGTTATTGCGAGTTTAAATTAATGCGACTTCGCAATTTAAAACGCTTATGGTACTCTAAAAGATTAAAAAGAATAGAACTCTATTTACGGCAATTATTTCATTAACAAGCGGCGTTAATTATAATTCTTTTTTTTCTTTTTCTTCTTCATTATAAAAGCTTATCTTTCATTTATTGAGTCGACTCAGCGGCGGTAAAAGTTAGTATTATTATTTCCTCATCTAATCGTGAAGATATGAATCCATACAATAATTCGACAGAAATTACCAATCTTTCGTATAAGGATATCTCATTCGAAACAAACATCGCAAACCTTATTAAATTTATTATTTTACTTATTTTTCAATTATTATCGATCTGCTGTTCACTCTTTCTCTTTTTTCACTTAATAACAAAACCGAAACTTCGTCGATCATTACGTAATCATACAATTATTACTCTTGTTATTATAAGCTTCTTTCAGACTATATCAGATCTACCATTAACACTAGAATATTTACGAATAGGTCAAGCATCATCCTCAGTTTTTTGTTTATTATGGAATTTTTTTGCATTATCTAATTATGCTGTTGGTGTATGGGTGATGACTTGGGCTTCTCTCGAACGTCATTTTTTAATTTTTCATCCTGGTCTTATGAATACAACTCGCGGTAAAATCTTCTTTCATTATATTCCATTATTTATTTCATTATTTATCCCTTGGATGTATTATATTGTCATGATTTTCTTTTACCCATGCACAAATACCTTTTACCTATCTGCACTTTTTTGCGGATGGTGTTGTTATGCATATAATGATGCATTAGTAATGTTTAACTGGTTGACGTATGGTGTTCTTCCAGTATGTTTGATCACAATTCTTAATCTATGGTTGATTATTCGTGTTGTGTTACAGAAACGTCATGTCCAACAGCAGATCAATTGGCGTCAACATCGTCGTATGACCGTTCAGCTATTGAGTGTTTCTTGTCTTTATATATTTTTCGATGAACCAGCAGTGATCATTGGAATTATTCGTTTAGGTGTGCCGACATTTGCTGTTGATATTCAAATATTATACCTATATTATATAGTTTACTTCCTACCATTACTTGTACCATTTGTTTGTTTGGCTAATTTTCGTGAATTATGGAATAAAAATCGTGTGCAAGTCAATCCATTGATGCCATTAACACGCACCCATACTGTTAGACGAACTGGAATAGTAAAGCCAACAACTTGTGTTGCACAAACAAGCAAAGTGTAATATTATTTAGTACATAAAACTTGACTTCGTATTAACCGAAAAGCGGAAAAGGATGTATAGTTTTTTTTTCTTTAAATAATAAATGCTTATGATGAAAACTAAACATAGTCGATATTATAATAAAACTGAAATGTTACTGTAAGAAATAACAACATATTTAATTTCTTTTGAACTCAACGATTGATTGAAAATGCATTTGTTTTACTTTCATTGATATTCGAAACTTTTGGAAAATCTTTTAGTTAAACTGAAATTCTATCGAATTGTAAATTTTGCATGAGTAACAAAGTCTTTTCATTTTATCATGTATAAATAAAAATTGCAATTGACGTTGAGAGAAAACCAATGGTGACATCTTTCAAGAAATAAATTTAAAAGTATGTATTGATGAGTTTATCATTAATTTTTTAATGATAACAAAACTTGTTGACAAATATCTCTATTTTTATCCTTTAATTAAAAAGAAAAATTCTATCTATCATATTATATCGGACAGCTTTTGACTTACAAACTCTATATATATTTAACTAAATATATATTTTAATTAGAATCTATTATCCTTACCAGTTAATATTTAAATATATATATATATATATATATGTAAACGCAAATAATTGTGTACTATTTAATTGAATTTAGATAGTTACAAAAATATTTTCCAACTGTCCTTCTACGAGTCTTACAGCAAAAAAGATTTCTTTGTATTACTATTTTTTTTTATTGAGAATACATCTTATATTGTTTGAACTATATTTAACGATTTTCTCTATTTAAGTTTGTTGTCATGATATCAATCTATATGAAATACAACATCGATCATAACTGAGAGTACAATTATTCAAATAGTTTCATATTACAAAAAAAGACAAACAATTACGATATTTGGATGTGGATATTTATTATTTATCCACATCCACATCTAATTTTATCGTCATCTTTATGATTTGCTGATAACATTGCTTAGAATATTTGAAAGTAAGGACGTGGAGAAAGTCATAACATCGTCACTCTGAAAGAGTGAAAATATACTCTATTATACTTCGGTTTCGTTGATTATATATATTTTTTATTGAGAAAAAAGTAAAGATCGGAAACTATTAAATGAAGAAACTAGAAGTCAATGATAATGTCACTACTTTTAGGTGAAGATAAATGTAAATAAAGCGACGATAACTGTGAACAGGAATAGTACAGATAACTGATGTCTAGCACCAGTACCCTTTGTTGATGACGATGTGGAACCTGTTGATGCTGAAGTAACCATCGCTGTTGCAACTGATGAAGCTGTATTAGCTGTTGAAACTGATGAAGTAACAACAATAGCTGTTGCAGCTGATGAAGTAACAACAGTTGTTGAAGCTGATGCAGCAGCAGTAACTGTTTGTATGACGTTAATCATAGCACCCATTCCGGGATGATTATTACATCCATAATAATAAGTACCACTGGTACTAAATACAACAGAAGTCGTAGTACCTGCGTTAGTAATTGGACTGTTGAGTAAACTAGTAGAAGCGGCTCCTTGGCAGAAACTGGGTACGACACTATTTTGGCATATTGTCAGTGGATGACTAGGTACACTCGTAGCCAAATTAAATTGTAACGTATCACCAACATTTAAAGTGATATTTGGACTGAGAGTACCGTTTAAAGCAAATGTTGCACTGTAACTGGATGGATTTCCCTGAGGACAAGTTGAACCCTCAACACAGGAAACAAAAGTCACAGTATATATGACAAGATTTGCCGATACACTAGGAAACGCTACGAGAATCAATACAAAACATAATAACCATAATAGATGCGCCATGTGTACGAAATAGATGTGTAGTGAATACAACGATTGAGAAAAATATTTAAAATGATGTTACCTGTGGAGCGTAAGGATGTAAATACTCATGGAGAAAAAAAAGGTGGATAGAATAATTATCAAGCAAGCATATTATAGTAATTTATGATGTCATTTTTGGCTTGTCAACCAATCGTAGCTACCTGAATCGATAAAGAAAAAAGAAAAAATACAATGAAAAGGTGAATAAAATGAATATAAATAGCTCCCGGTTGTACGACGTATCGATTTTTCGATCTTGTGTATTACGCATACGAAAAAATTTTAGTTATAAGTGCGTTTGTATTTGTTTTTGGGGAAAAAAATAATTTTGTTTGTGCAAATTTATGCTTTGTCATCGTCTCTTATACGAGGCATCCGAACAAGACACTTTTTTTATTTTTATGACTACGCCCAAATTATGCGATGAATACGACTAAACAAAATGCTTTTAATTATGAAGCAACATACTTGAACTAATGAATCACATTATATTATCAATCTATTTAAGCGATTTCTGTTTTGATCAGATAATCAAATTGAATTTAGCTGATATGAAAGAAAATATATAGAGAGAACGTGGGGGTTCATTATTCATCTGCACCCGCACTTAAACCGTCAAAATCACAAAATTTTAAATATTAATGTAAAAATGATAACGATAACCTTTAGTTGTTAAAAGAATATTACTAGAAAAAATTGATACAATTTTGCAAAATATAGAATATTTGCTTTCATCAAATTGCTTATTCAATCTCTATTTTTATTGAGTTCATCTATGATAATTTAAGCTTTAATTGCTTCTTTTGACAAGTTATAACAAAATACATGTTTGATAATTCTTACTCGATTGTATTAGAAATATTCGAAGAAAAAAATAATTAATTTTTATTTCCAATTGTTTTTACTAAAATTTTCAATTTTCGGTACGTATCTTGAGGGTTTAGGTATCAGAGAAAATGTTAATGTAATACTCACACCCTGTTGAATAAAAGTATCAATTATTTCAATCCTTTTTTTTATTTAAACAATCCAATGTTCGCATAGCCTGTTAAAGATTCTAACGCTCTTATTTGTGAGCATAAAATTGTTTCACGTCGTAATTTATGTACTATTTTAAGGTACTGTTCTTCTCGTTATACGAAAAGGAAAGGAAAAAGAATTGCATCTTATGGAATGTGTGATGTTATATGTCGGTAGCTCTTATCAATAAAATCGAATATTCATCTAATATTTATTTACTTCCTTTTTTTATTCTTTCAGTTAACTGTTAATAATATATCAGTAACGTGAGAGAAATATTTTTCTGTTACGTTCTCCGCTGTGTGTCGTTAGTAATTTGTATGATGACATATACCAGTATCATGCATATTATTTAATAAAGAGTGGTTGGTGTAATGTATAATGAAACCATACCATGTTTAATAAATATTTGTCAAAATAATGACAAATATTTTCTTTTAGCAAATGGAGCTACAATAATAACATATTATTTATGCAATAAATATTATAGCGATAATTAATGTGAAATTAATCAATATTCGAAATATCTTTGAATCTATAGTATATGAAAATAAAATAAAAAAGAATTATGATCTATATAATGAGATAGTTGTACTTGGTATAGTATCATTCGAAAGTAATCTATCGTCATTATAAATATTTTTTATTTTCAAAAAAAATCCCTATAACTAATTTAGATATATATTTAATCTTACATTCATTAACTGGTTTAATTGTCATCTTGAGGGTGCGGGTGTCAGAGTAAAGTTAGTATAACATCCACACCCTCATCGATTCTTTGAAGTTTGTTAATTTGATAATAAACATTTTTGATCATGATAATTCACTTTTTTCTATTTGTGTTATGAATACTTTATTAGATTAGATAATATGAATAAATAAGTCTTGATTAAATAGAATAATTAGTAGTATTACATAAAGAAAAAACAATTTTACAATATTACCACAAATATTTTTCTCAAAAAGAAAGAGATTTAACCTGATATTAGTAATTCTAATTCTTGTTCATTAAATATTGATATTAAAATTTTTGGGATAATATCATAGAAGCCATCTAAAAATGAATTTATTTGTTGTCTTATTGAACCAATCATTTTTTCTTGACAAACAAGACGAATATATTCATATTTATTTTCATTTGTTACTACAATACGTGAACCATTTGGTAATAAATCAATAACTTTATTTTCACCAAATTCACTTGCATCTAATGAAAATGTTAAATCTAAACCTAATTGTTCAATATCATTTTGTAATAACATAACTAATTTTTTATAAAATTGTAAATCAACTGATTCCATATCAGTATAACATACAGGGATACCAAGTATATTCTTATAAAATGAACGTGTAAAACGATAGTCTATATATTTATTATCAAATATAGCTTTAGCTATAATACGTCCAATAAATTTAAAATATTTTAAATGATTTGTATTTATATGTGATGATGAACTAGGCATATATGTTACACGATCACCTGGAATTATCATAAATAAAGCATAATTTGAATCAAACATTGAACGTGTTATTAGTGAATACCATTCACGTAAACGTCCATCAGGATCTTGTCCTTCTTCATCATCAAATACAATATAAAATCGATGTTTCCAATCTTCTGGCGTACGTCGACTTAATTCTCTATAGGAATCTTCAAATATATAATTACGTCGAACATGTACAGCTAAATCTTGTCCACGTATAGTTTCTTTTAAACGATCAAGTTCATGACGAAAATATTTTCTTTTAATATCAAAATGAAGTATAGATGTATAATCAGTTAATATATGAAATGGTCCTTCAGTTAAATGTTGAGTACTTTGACGTAAAACTTGATTTAATAGCATACGATGAGTACGAACAAATTTAACAAATTGTTGTGCATCTAATGGTAATTCATTGGTTGATGTTGTTGTTGTTGGTGCTGAACTAAACCATTCTAAATGTAATAATACTTCACGTGTTTCACGATCTTTTTTCTTTCTCTTGTGTTTTTCATTTTCATTATCTAAATCAGCAGCATGAACAAGAAAAAAAGCTTCAACAGTTGGTTGAAGTACTAAAACAGCATGTGGATCAGGTAATTTAGCTATTGATAATAAACAATCATTTAATGAATCCCACAATTGATTTATATTTAATAAATCACTTAATTTTGTTTGTTGATTTGGTAGAAATTGTCCAGGATCCATTGGTTCATATATTTGTGGAGTTAATGGTGGATTTATTTGTAAAAAATCATTAATACCTGTTATCATTATTGTTAATAATGGTGGTTGAGGAAAATCTTTAATTAATGATTCAAACTGTCGCATTAAATTATATATATCTTGCTGGTAAAAGATTTGTTGACGTTGTTCAATTGTATTGGAATTTAAAATTGTGTGTAAACGTGTACGTATTTGTTCTAAGCAATTAGCTAATTCATCAGTTGGTTGGAGTACATCGTTTTGTTGATTTATTGAATTATTATCTGATGGAGGAAAATATGAATGTAATGATTGACGTAATGTATCAAGAAGATGTGTTAATTTATGAACATCAGTTTCAAAACATGTTCGAGCATCAAGTTGTTCTTTTTTTGTTGCTTCACGTAATTGTATAATAACTTTAAGAATACGTAATAAAAACTGTTGATTAGCATTTTTTGATGTTAATACAATCATAGTTGGTAATTGTAAATCTGGTTGTATAGGATTTGAATCAATATCCATGAATGTGATAGAATTACTACGAATATTTTTGTATGAGTCATATAATTGATCATTAGTTGTTATTGGAATATTGGATTTCTTTTGAGATAAATAATTTTCAACTTCCCGAAGTAATTGTCTAAATAATAAATATAAATCAAATTAAAAATAGTTGATTCCTCGGACATAAGACGACTGAACTCATTCGTTGAAAAGTTTCCTATATTTTCTGTGGATATATATCATTTGTTTTGGATAATGACGAAAAGAAACGGTAGTCACCAGCCGGAATTAAGCACTTTTTGAGGAAAATTGATGAAAAAGATAACTTCTTGTCTAATATCGTAAAAGCAACAGATCACTCTATATTGTTATCAAAGCTATAAAAAAATGTCTTTTCAGAAGCTCAAAAAAAGGTGTGTTACCGTAATGTTTTAGTAGTAGCTCCTTGTATGAACAAGCTTTCAATAACTAAATTTCATCCTCGTCAAATCTATTGCCTTGGTTTCAAGCATAGACAGAAACGTTTCGTTCGTAGCGAGAAAACCTTAAGTAATATAAACTTCTTTCGACAAATGTAACGGAAGGAGAGTCCTTTGGAATGAGTGCGTTACTACAACTTCTGTTTTTCGTAACTCGACACGGTTTGACGAAAGGCAGCGAAAATTTTCGTGGAATTACAACTTACTTAATGTCTTCACTAACATCTTTGGCTAATAAACCAATATGATTAACTAATAAATGTAAAATTTTATTTCTTGTCACTTGATTAATTTCTGATATATTTAATAAAAATATAATTGCAAATTCTAGACCATCGTGAGTATATGATTTCGATATTAATATTTTGCTAACTAAATTTATGTATGAATCTAAAATAACTAATTTCTTATTTGTAGGTATTGATTGTGAAATTAATGAAAGTAATTTAAATAGTTTATCAATTAATTGAATATTTTTATTCAGCATTGGATGTTCAAACATAAGTAATAAGATTGATAATGGTGATGATTTAAAATCAATTTTATCAATTTTTTTTATATTTAATAATAAATTATCGTATCGTTGATTTGAACAAAAATCTATTAAAATATCTAATATTGTATCAAGATTTGGTATAATTATTTCAATTAATTGATCATCGTTAAGTAAAAGAGTCTAAAATAAAACGAAATAAAAATTATGGTGATTGATTTTCTAATAACTATACTTACAAATGTTGATTTACAAAGTGCAGCAACACAATGACAAGCTTTACTTGATGGAAAATCAATAGGTAAATTTTTCATTTGTAAAATATCAAGTAAAGATTTTAAACCTCCTAATTTAACAAATTCTTTTCCATGATCATCTGTTGGATTATTACTAATAACACCTTCAAAAAAACGCATTATATTTTTTAAATAATCAAGTAATGGTACAGCAACTGAAACTGTTTCGTCTTCAGATTTATTTTCATTTGATAATGTTTTATCATCTTCATCATCATCTTCATCAACCGATGAATCTCTATTATTTTCTTCTACATTTATATTTGTTATAGTTAACGGCAATGACTCTGATTTTTGACAAGAATATTGTGGATTATTACCCAATTCAACAAGTTGTCCAAGTAATGTTATCATTGATTTTATTACTTCTGTACGTAAACTAACATGTTGTATTATGAATTTATTAATAGCAGTTCCAAGACTTGATGCTGTACCATAAATTGTTCCACGTCTTCGTATCATAGCTGGTAAATATTTTGATATTAAAAAAATACGAAAGAATTTATCAAATGGTTTATATTCCATAAAATTTTCTAAACCACGTGCATTTAAACATAATGAACTAAATATATTTGGTAATGATACTAAAACATCACGTGCAACTGGTATATCTTTTTTCAAAAGTGCATGCATTAATACATCTGTTAAACCATTATCTTGTAAAGATGATAATTGTGATGGTTCTTGAAATATAAATGATGTAACAACATCAGTTGCTAAATGAAATAATGATGGACCATAATATTCCGCATTACTTATTATATGTTTTAATGAATTTGGTAATGAACCATCCATAATATGTCGTGTTGTATCAACCATTGTTCGTTCAGTAAAAGCTTTTTTTAAATAATTTAATATTGCTTTAAGTAATGCAGCACGTTGATGATAACATGTTAAACCTGGTATAGGATTTTGTGGTATTGAATCATGATTTTCTTCTATAAATTCACTTGTAGTCATATCTTTTGATAAATGTACTGTTGAATTTTGTGTTGTTAAAGATGGATGTTCACCTGAGATATCTGATTGAGTACTTGGAGATAATGAAGGATGTGTATCAAGATTTGCTGTTGGTGTACCTTGATTACGTTTTGGTATACGAATTATAAATGGTTGTTCGTTTCGACATTGTGTTATTTCATGCTAGACGAAAAAAATTTTAATTAAATTAATTAGTTTTAGTTGTTTGACAAGGTGGTAATGCTATTTATATATTTATGATATAAATTG